GAAAACAAAAGGGAAAACTTATTGGTGAGGACCAAAAGTGTAACAACTGGTAAAGAAACGTATTATATCTATGAACTTTAAATAACAACTGTTTCAGATTTTAGATAGTCCAACCTGTAATCAAAATCTGAAGTCAGATCCAAATCCTTCCACATTATTCTGCATGGTAACAGTATGTACATGTCATATGTACGATTCTGAAAAGGCTTAAAGTGCCTGCGACATCTAATTTTTGTAATAAATATGAATGAATCTTTGGAAAGATACCACTGACAACATGTTGCAAAAAAGATTTGAAGCTGCTGAGATGAAAAGTTGATATATTTGCATGTGAAGCAACAGGAAGTGATGTCAGAGGGAAATGTGAACAGAGCTTTAATACAACAGCTGACATCTGAGCCTGTAGAGAAGAATCTGTTTCTTTAGATTCACGATCAGAGACATGAAGACGAGTCAGACTTCAAATAATATTTAATAAACAAAGACAAGAGTTCATTTTATTAAAGAGTTCCCATTTCATGTCACTTCCTGTTTCATTTTGAGCCAAGTTCAAAAGAAAATGTGTTTGTTATGTGATGAAATGTGTAAATCATGTGTACTATGCAAAGTCTCTTGAATACAAACGTTTCCTTTGACTTGTTGTATTTGAAAGATTTGTACATGACAGTATCTTTAAGGTTGGATAAAACTACTATTACTTATTGAATGACCTCTTCAAGTTCTGCAGAAGCTTGTTAATTACCATAGGAACAGGACTGGAAACCACTGGTCTAACAGAAAAAATCATACTCTGAAGAGTTTTAATTTGATATTAAGAGAACCAGGATCATAAAACAAGATTACAAACAACATATTCTTCTGTTGTTTGTTATATTCTTATAATTCACAATTCACACGCACCGACAAGGTCCATTTAAATCCATTCAGCTCCTCTGCATGACATTTGATAAAAGCAGTAAATATTTGCACCATTTATTTATTTTCTCTGTCTTTATTTCAGAGTAATTTGTGACGACAGCTGAAGGTATTCAGAGTCATTGGATCGACTTGTCCTCTTGTTGGTGAATTATATTTTAGTGTACATATAAACAGGTACAGATGTGAGCTGATAAACATCATACAAGGTTAAATATATCTAAAAATATCAACAACTATGGCAAATGTTGTTGGGCTGCAAAAAGGTGTAAAAACAAATATTTTGTATGAAGGCCTCCTAGCTTGCATCATCAATGCTCCCTTATGAACAACAGCACATTGAACCTGGAGTCAAATCAGTCTTGGAGGAGACTTTAGGTGAACACTGGTCAACAGAGAACCAACCACAACACCAGTTTACACTGCCACAAAACCAGTTTACACTGCCACAACACCAGTTTACACTGCCACAAAACCAGTTTACACTGCCACAACACCAGTTTACACT